ATCTGTCGTAAAGAAACAACTTCATTCCAGCAAAGAGTTGTTCAAAATGATCACAGGAAGGATTCTGCCTACATGGTCAAGGCCGTGTATATCATTTGTACAAAACCCTGGAGATAGAATACTGTTTTTGGCAAGAACCAAGAAGGATGATCTCTACTGCTTGTGAACCTTGTCAGTAACTCCGTGGCAAAAACCATATTGAAGAAGCAGTCTAAGCTAAAGTTAATCCTTAGGTAATCCCAACATTCATCTTTGTTCTTCTAACTAAATGACTAAACTTTTCAGTCTGTTTTTGCTAATGTATTAACCCTACCCCCTAGGGACCATTGAAATCCTTCATAACCTTGTTGGGTTCAGCGTGGTTAGGGTTAATGGAGTAATTAACAGAGTGACGCAAGCCAGCAGGCTGAACCATGAGGCTTCAACAGGAAACACACAACAGCTTCAAGAGTAACATTAACATTACTGCTGGCATGCCAGCCAGATCTGATGTCGCGGTCAACCATTGGAACAAGTCTCACCCTGAAGACAGCCAATTGGACCTGCAATCTCCTGAGGTCCTATGTTAGATATGCCAAGGAGGGAGTTTGCACAGTATTCCAAAGACTTGGAAGTCAGGACTTTCTTGACAGCTGGACTTGAGCTACATGTAGTGAGTAGCTCCCGTGAGCTGTCAGACATCAGAAATTGGTGTCATACAGTGTTATGAGTGGCCATCACAGAGTTATGAATAAACATCACAAATTTTCTGCATTCTTCTGCAAAGGTTCAAATCCTTCAAAGGTGCAAATTATAAGAGATGACAGTTCTTGCCCACAACAAATTTGCTAATCTCTCCAATCCATAGCTTTGTAGATTCTACTGGCCTGTGCAGAGTATGTGCTAAGTTGATGTAATGTTTCTCTTCAAAGATTTTAACATTAGAATAAACGTTCCACCTCATTGAAAATTAGTTTAAGATTTTAATAATCTATACATCGAGTCATTTAACTGTATATTAAATCACCTGGATGCCGTCATTATGATGCCTTCGTAAAGTATCCTTTTAAATTAGGACTTTGTTTCCTTATTTTAATACGACTTAGAATAGTGGCAAAATAGGAAACAACTGGGAAAAAAGGTTAATCCCTACTTCCCCTCACAAATATCTCGCAAAATAAATTTTGAAAATACCTTGATTTGTTCAGCGGATATCTGAGAAGAGTAAAATACAAAGTGAAATATTTCATACAAAAATAATGTGGCATTTATGGTATTTCACCTTCACCATAATACATGTGTTAAAAATCCTACCAAACTTTTACAGGCCAGGTGTCAATCTCACAGGCCAAGGATTCACTGTTTCAGCTTTTGTTACCAGTATGAGTTGGCAGACTACAGATGTCACTGTTGTTAGATACTGTCACATACATACATGTACATTCAGCATAACACAGTGAAAAGGTAAGTTCCCCAAAACTCTACATGTACATGGGCACACATGCCTTGCAAACAAAAATGGTCAATGTTTTACCATGTTGAAAAGTTGAACTCTTAGCCATGTGCTTTAAAAGCAAATGGAATGGCTTTAAAGGGACCATGTAATTAAACTATTTCACCAAAATCCTTGAAATGGTACCTTTGTGTTTCAATTCATCTTATTTTTAATTTTTGTTGACAGTTCTTCACTCAACCAAAATTTAGGGTAATATCAAGAAATGTGAAACACTGTCAACATTTTGTCTTCTGTCGGATGACCAAATTTTTGAACTCGTACGTGATGGTCATGTTCCTACCAGAAAGAAACTACAAAAGTTATCAAATGAATTCTAGTAAAATTGGAAGACACTCAGGAATGTGTTGAATGCTGAACGTGAAAACTTCTCCACTCTGTGCACAAGGTGACATCGGAATGCAGGGGTAAATACACTACCAATTAAAAATAATACTAGTTTGTTCTCTGAGCCAAAGGTGAGTTGCCCGGGAGGGACAGAGAAAGCTCCTTCGCTCAGTCAGTGACAGAGACCGTAGAGATAGAGGGCCCAGCAGGAAGACCACGGGTAAGGCAAGCTAGCGCATGAAGGGGAGAAATCCTTCTCCAGTCAAGATTGTTTGCTCGACTGAAACTGATTATAACAGAGCATGGTCAGTGTCTTATTGGATTACAGACTACCTCGCTCACAGCTGGAAGGCTGAAAACCTCAAGACAACGTAGGCCTCAAATCCTGCACCAAGCACATTGGAATATCTATCCCAGTCAAATAATATCTAGTGGCAACCAAAATTTCACAAGGGATTGAGATGTACCTCTTTGTGTTTTTAAGAGCAATTCACATATGTTGTCCAGTTCTTTCCATCCTCACTGCACCGGCTTTGGCAAAACATCTTCATTTAATGTGGAATTGTTTCCCTTTTCATTCAAAGCTATTCAAAGCTACAGCCAGTAAATAAAAACCCATAAACAATGTGTGTGCCGGAAACAATTTTCAGAGTAATTTACAACAGAAACCACAAATTGTTTGAGACCCAAGTGAAAGGTTCCTGAAATGAATTTCAGTTCAAATTTTCCAATGACCTAATTGTCTCTCAACAAATAAAATTAACTCAGAGTTATTTTCCTATGGCTTTCATGACCCGTACTTAAACATCAGCCAACTTGTCTTATAAAAAAACAAGATTTGCAGACATGAACAAGTCAATTAAAAAGCCAAAAATACATTAAAACATCACTTACACAACCCTTCCAGTGCCAAACTCATTGCCATAGCCAGAACTCGGTCCTTATTCACAGTCTGGGAAATCCTCAGCATACCACTGAAAGGGTGCACGAGCCCTACGAATTTACACCGAGCCCTCTGTCAGACTGTACCTTATCATCATTGTCAGCGGATAACATCGGTTTCTCTGGATGCAGTACTGGCATGGATGGTCCTTTCTCTATGTCCATGATCGTCTCTGGCAGCTGCTTGTTCAAGCTCTCAGGAAGAGTCATGTCCAACACGGCACTCAGTAAGGCAGTCAACCCAAATGCAAGGTAGGCAACTTTCTCTCCCTAGGTTGGTGAGACAGTCAGAAAGACAAGGCATTCAACAGTGGAGGATTACATCATGTCAATAAGGTACACTGCACATTTGGGTACTGTTCGTTCTATGTCTCTCACTACTATTTTACATTTTGGTCATTGGACATTTCAAAATCTCACTTTTTTTCTTTCTCACAATTGAAGGCGGAAGGATTCAGCAAACAGCCTATCACCTCTGGTCAAAAAGTGGGAGGCATGTCTATCCTAGCATAAGGAATCATGTGACCATGATGTCACATAGATGTTACCAGTCAAGTGAGAATCATTTCAAATGTTACTGTGTCACAAGAGGGCACACTTCAAAACTTACAGCAATTTCTGTGGAATTGTTCATTACTAACAGAGCTACCCTGTTGCTTCAAACTGACAAAACTGTACAAAAAAGCAAGCAGTCCACTTTAATCACATTTGCAAACCTACAAAGTACCCTTTGTGCTTTCAGTACTAGAGTCCGGGAACTTTGCTAACGATAGGCCTACACTGTATGTAGTGAGGGCGTCACATATGGGCTATATGTATGTATGTTTTGTCTAACATCTACTCACATATGGTGGTAAGGTAGGCGCAATGACTCCCCCAAGTCGGGCCGACATGGAACACACACCCAAACCTGTGTTTCTATTACAAAGCAAGTTTGTCCAAAGAATCATGGAAAGATGGTATTGAAGCAACATTTTCAAAAGTGAAATTACAAGTGTTGTAATTGTCAACTTTTCTTCCAAATACTATACAAGTTAGGTGTGTCTGAACCTGCCAAACATGGACATTGGATGGTACATGCATAAAGATAAGATTAAACACAAACTGGATGACTTCCTGCATATCAAAGTTGCGAATAGAATAGAATA